CTAGAGGTCATACCATGTTACAGAAAATTTCCCTCAGGACAGCTTGTTAGGTAGAGTGGTGAACATTTTTTACTGGACTTTGGGTGTATGAGCACTGTCTGCGAATTTACTGAACTATAATATATTCGTCTTAAAAGTTCAGTGCTCTGATTTCAAGGAAGAAGTCAAACATAAAATCCATTTCTGATAATAAACATCCCCGTGGGCATAATTTTGTTAATATTTATATAGATTTGATGACACACTCAATGCATAAAGATTTATCACGAGACATTCGTTACCATCCTCGATTGCCTGACTAAAGAGATAAATTACTTACCCGATTGATTCGAAGAGATTCTGGTAAAAAAATTAATTTGGAGAAATTTTCAGTTTTTGTCAACATTATTGACAGGTTGAATGAAGAGGAAAACTTAAATTTATTTACTGAAGTTCAAACTCTCATTATTTTAAAGTGTCACTATGGGTTTTTGTCTACGTTATAAAGTGTAACTGACACTTCAACAGCCTCCCACAGCTATACCAGTCCATTAACAAAATAATATTAGCAGAAAGGTCATAGGGATATGCTTGACTGGCAAGCTAGCTCCTGCAAGAGACAGTTCGCCATTTAGTACCACCTTTAGCATTTTGCAAGTTTCAAAACGTGGGTGTCTAATAAGTTTCCATTACTAAAAACTACCTAAAGCCATTCAGCTTTCCTAAAATATATTAGTAAAGGTATCTAGCTAATTACCTTTTGCGTTTCTCAAATGTAGCGAAAGACCCCTGGCTTGGACCAAGACTAAAGAATCACCATGATAGTCCTAAAGTATGCAGTTCCATATATATTATTATTCAAGTAATTCTCTCCCAAGTGGCATATTTAGCAATGGCCATGCCCCAACCAGGGCAGTGAAAGGTCTTTTTGGAAGTGAAAATATGGCCCTCTAAATGATCAAAATTTATATCTGAAAGCCCTGGACTACCAGCATCTCATATACCCCATCATCCATTGTCTAGAAACACTAAAGTACTGAGGGATAACATTCTAATGAGAATCACTTCGAAAACCATTAAATCATGAATATCAGATGATGTTGTGGAAAGAAACTCGTTCCGGACATGATGAACTCCATTAATCTTGTATTAATCAGAAAGAAAAACTGTTATATCTCATACAATATTCATTAATATTGACAATCATTACTCCCAACCTTATTTCCAGCTCAGGATAAACTCCACAGAAAAGAAACAATCAAATGCATTTGATTTCAGATCGACAGAGCAGATAAGAAACTTGAGTGTACTTTAGAAATTGCATTAACCTCCTCATAACAATTTACAGAAATGTCATGAAATTTTAATATACATTGACAAATTTTCATTTCGAGCTTTCCTAACGTCATGTAAAATTAATAAAATGTCAACCGATTCCTGAACGAAAATTAATACTGAGTGGATAGAATAATTCAATGTTTTAAATATGTAGGGTTATCATGACTGAAAAGGGATGTATGTGTATTCAATTTCAGGAGAAGACTAGTGTTGCTCAACGTAATGATGTCTGTGTTATCTATTTTCTTAAGTAAGTTAATGACGCTTGATCTCTTGCGTCAATAGCATAATTTCTTTTTTTTTACCCAACTGTACTATTCTGTACTGTTTGTTTTAAACTAGGCATTTATTCATGTGATATTTTTTATTTACAGCTGTGGAATGAAGAGATGTCCATTTTGGGTCGTTATGACATGGTCGTATGATTATGCATGATCACGATTCACTAATTGTCAGTAACCCAGTAAGCAAAAGAATAATGGCAATAACCTTTTAGTTTTGGTATGCACATTAGAAGACCTACAAGGAAGGGCTATTAATACTTTTGAAAGAAAATAAATTGTATGAATCACTATGGTCGTCAACACAATAAATATATGGGGCGCCTTTCCTTGAATATACCTATATTTACCTATATGACAATAGTTTAATAAGCTTGAACAAAATACCAATAAAGATCAGACAATTCCATTCAAAAACTTCTCATAAAGGATTCTATTATCATAACAATAGAAACACTAGTGCAGATAATATGCATGAATACCAAAATACAATTGACTTAAGGGCATGGTAGAAATAAATCAAAATTCCTTCAAGGAAAACCTTGTCTATAATATTAAAACTGTATACAGCTGAATGCAGAATTATTACTTAAGAAATTCTAAATATAATTGAATTTTGTCTTTCAATCTATAATATATTATTACAAAGCAACACTTATATTTAAACATTATTCTCAATGGACATAAACGAATTGTATTTCATGAAAATGATTAAATTTTAATTTGACAATTTTTATGGAGAATAATACTGTCCCAAGGGTTATAAAAGAGAGCAGTACGTTTTATAGTTCCATTTCTCGGATTGAATATCTTTGTTTATAATACTTTTAAAACTTTTATTCAGTGTTCTCAAACCGTTCAGATATAGCATTTTCACTTACTAATCCCGTATGACACATCTTTATAATGTCACATTATCAGTGCTCTTGGATAGATCGAATTCTGAAATTGCGCTTTGCTTATATGGCTACTACATGTGGTTGATCCAATGACAAAAGATACGACTTAGGTGCAAGTCGCATCCTCGCCGTCGATTCCCATTGCTTTCGAGCACGGAGAGAAATCCCACGTACTCAATGGAACCTCTGGAGAGGTCTTCAGAATATGGGTTCATGGAGTCAGTCCATAGAGACCATGCCGACGAAACGCTTGGCTGAAATTTCTGATAACACTGTTATCAGAGGAAATGTCCCCGCTAATTGTTTACTTTGTACAAAGGATGATTGTCAATACCATAAACATGTTCGTATCATTAGATACTACAAAACCAATTGATCTGCAGACTTATTCTTCCTATTTACACTGAGCTATTGTAGGTAGATGAAATTGTCAGACGCTAATAGAAAAAAGAAACACAAGGAATATATGTTATATGTGTTCTCTTTTATGTAATGAAGACAGGAGACAACGTTGTAAAAGACCTTCTAATTTGAAATATCAGCGACGTGAACTGTCAGAAAGGAAATCGAACATGTTCTGCCTCTCGTGACACCTCAATATACAATGTTATATAGTACAGTATAATACAGTGTTAGGGCATTGAAGGTAAACGGAAGCCATTTGGCTGGACTCATTCCGTCCTCAAAATATCATCCTCTATTCAAATTTTACTGAAAAAATTCAAACGCTGAATTTTAAAAATAAGGGATTATTTAATATACGCTAGATAAAGTAAGATAGATAACCATTAGCTTTATTTTGGTCATCATTAATTTGTCGTTTGAGTTTGAAAATTAATTCCTCATCAAGAAGTACATCGCCCAAACTTTGTGCTAGAATAAGCATGTGGCTGATATTTTTTTTTATTCAGTAAAGTGACAGTCGTATGATTAAAGTTTTGTTTGAATATATTATATTGTAAAAGTGTGGCTTATTTAATAAAAATTAGTTGTCTACGTTTATTTAACTGTAAGGTTTTCTAGCTAAAGCTTTATTAACATTAATCATTTAAAGGGAGAGTATGGATAATTTATATTATTAGAAACGATGAAAAGATTGCTAGAATATCCTTACTTCTATGTATTAACTTAACTGAAAAATGGTTTAATGAGCGTAATTGTTAATTAGGCAGTTTGATTTAGTTTTGATAGTTAGCTTTATAATAGCTCTATTTTGAGTTGACACCTTCAGAATAAGTAGGAAGACATATTTTGCTACAATTTGGCATTCATTTTGCTAAAATTCGCACATTAGTTCTTTAAAGAATATGTGTTGATCTTGTTGATCATGATACATGATTAGGATGGACAAGTGTGTGGAAGCTAACAAGTAACAAATTGTTCATCATCATACCTTTCATTTTATTTTTTAATTAACAAATTTTCGTCATTATACCTTCCATTTCATTTGTTAATTAACAAATCTTTCATCATTCCACCTTTCATTTCAATTTTTAATTATAATATTTTATGTATATTATTACAATTAATCGCTTTGATAAACAGCAGCTGTTTATTTTATGCTTAATCAACGGAATAAAACGAAAGTCTAAAATAAACACCCTATAATATATAGAATAGACAATTTTATTATTTTATTTTATTCAGGTACAAATATGTAGAACAAGGAATTTAAGCAAAGATTTATTCAGAAGCCATTCATGGTTATTGACGCTTTTTAAATATGGATTTAGATATTTTTTATTATACCAGTAAATGTATATTAGAGGAAATATTGAATGTTTTAAGCTAGGTTTGGATGAATACAATATAAACCATATCCACAACGGTTTGTGAACGTGAATATGAGTTATAAATAGGTCGAATCTGATAAATCCTTGGCTCTCAAGTTGACTTTTTCTCGCATTCGTCAGAAGTCAAAAGTTAGACTAGACACAACACATTCTTGGTGCACAGTTGACAGACATGTCTGAATCACCAGCTAATTAATCTATGCAGTCGTTTTGAAAGACGTCTCCAGTACCCTCTGTAACGTTCTCTTATGATCCCAGGGGGTGTCAAGGTTAATAAAGAGTGTAATAGAATTTCTCAGATCTTAAACTAGGTTTGATCTTTCGTAGGATTTGGTATCAATTGTGTTTATATCCTAAGGTTAGATTAGCATGGATACTAGGTTAAGTAAGAGAATGAATCAAGGCTCTGAAACTAGGTTTTTTACATACAGATCAGGATTTCCAACCAGGTTTAAACCTAGATTTACATAATTACATCATGTTTGGTCTATTGAAGAGGGAAGCTTGTTTTCAAGTGTATATTCAAACTGTTTGGGTGTACGGTGTAGATTATAATGTCATCTATTATATTTGTTAGTGTAATGATATGTGTAATTATCAGAATAGAGCTGTAGTCAAATATAAAGTCACTCAGGCTTCTCTGATAAAATATATACTATGAAACTGTGTGAATTCAGACGTGAATTTAAACGTAAATGACAACAGCTTACCTCGAGTGTGTAAAGAAGCCTCTCTTAAATGTTTTCCATAATCGACGTTTGGAGAATGTTCATCAAAACTTGTATACCAGGGCTCATTGCCACTCTTTTTAAGCATGGCAATAAACAAAGGTTCCACAGCAAAATAACAATTTGAACGTCCATCGTTGGGTCCTTTAGAATTAGTGTACAGTAATCCAACTGTTGACCAATTGAACACATGGAATGTATCTTCAACGAAATGCCCTATTTTAGCATAGGTTCCCATAATACGAGTTAAAAGTTTATATTCGGATTTATCTGCGAAAGCACTGACCAAGGCACCAGCAGTTATAACGGGAATATTCCAATAATACGCGAATCTGGCTATTGGTGCTACTGCATAGTCACAAGCCGGACCTATTAGGAGAAACAATTTCGACATATCAAAGGAAACATTTATGATGAAAAAAGGCAACCTGTATTAAGACTAAGTAACGGAGCAATCAGTAGGTACATAAAGAAAGTTGTAACATTGTTGTCTTTTAATCGTAAATCTTTCTTTTTAATTCAAATTGATTAATACCCAAGTCATTACGTGCATTCAGTATCAGAATTGCCCACATGGTACAACCGTTGATCAACTTCGATTTTCGTTAAATTGAAATGATATAACCAAATACCTCTTACTTACCAAGAAATACATCAGCGGATTTCTTTACATACATATCAATGGCCCTTAGAGGACCGTGCGTATCATCACACTTAGAGTCCGCATAAGTAGCTTTGATCTTGTACCCTTGCAGAAGGGTTGTCCGATATTGGACTGTTTCGATAGCATATTCTATCGCTGGACGAGTTTTTGGCAATTTCCACAGATCTTCAGTGCTTAGAGGCAAAATAACTCCTATCTTAATATCCACTGTTTGAACACTATTTAACACAAAGAACACCAAAAAGAACTTTATGACTGTAAACAGCGCTGATTTAACAGTGGCCATTTTTTTAAATTCAGTATACAATCTTTCGAAAGAAACTCTCGAACACTGATAGACAAGTGTCACACTAATACAGTAACGATAGTCATGATTCAATACTCCTTTTTATAAATGAAATGAAACATGTAGAAACGTATAACAAATCTAGTTATTATGTAGGAAAAGTTATAACTTATATATAATAAAATAACTCAATTGTATGAAATCACTATGAATGAAAGCGTTTTCTTATTGGGTTAAGTACGGTCATGTTCTGAATGTATTCACAGATGTTTCATTTTATAATCATAATAATAAATGCATCATTATGGCAATTATGTCGACGACACAATTATTAATGGACAATGACGTTTTCTACCAGTAAAATAAGATTGACTTGGTAAAATTTTGACGAAGTAACCTCCGAGATATCAGGAAAGTCGTCCTATAATAGGAAATTCACATAAGTGAGACCCACTAACCGTTAATTTTCAAACGTACTTAAAAGATGAAGTTTTGAATGGAAACAAACACAGAATTGAACAAAATCTCCAGATGCACTGAACTATTTTCATCAATGAAAGAAGTGAAAAACAATCATCAAATGGAAATTGAGTTGAAATTATTTTCCAAGGTTGAAATTAATTTGCTTCACTGAAAATTCATAAGAATATTCAAACTTAAATCTGTTGAAAAATATCGGCGAAATTTTCTCTTATCCTATCACAGATGTCAATATAATGTAACATTCATCTATAGAAATATATATACTAGCATCTCAGCTATTAATCAATCCAAAACACGTGGTATACACCGTTCAATGAAATCCTTACACAGAGAGTGGAAAGTTTCTTTCTAACCGCGAATATAAGTTCTGCCCAGAATCAATGGGTCTTTACTGCTTAGAGCACGCATGTCAGTCACTAACTAGTAAAGCGACTAACAATTCTGAACAGTTGAATACACGAAGAGATCCACTAGAAGGCAAAGATTGACTGTGAAACGTCAACCAATGACACTTGTATTAATTGATCTGAATTAACAATGAGCAAAACAAGCAAACACAAACAATAATACTGACTTCCATTAACCAAACAAGAAAAACAAGTCACTGAAAGGGCGCCCAACGCCCTCAATGGAAGTTTACGTCAATGACGTCAACGTCAAAAACATTTGCCAAACACGACTGTACATTCAATGTAAATGATTCCAAAGACGTTGAAAAGAGTTCTGAAAATCTTCTGCTTCTTATACATTGCTTATACAATGTCTGAATCACTTCTTTTTCTACTGGTATAAAAGTATTGAATGTGTTACTAACTATAGTATTTCAATAGGAATTCAGTTGATAATTCGCTACCGTAGTCAAGACTTTATTATGATATACACAGACGTTTCCTTTACATGACACGGTCGTAGATAATCTTTCAAGTGTGAGACAGGTTTGCTCTGTAAGTACTAATCTCATTATTTTGAAAATTGACGACAAAAACCAAGTCAAATTATGGATTAAGGATCAAGTTTGTTGATATGAACCTTGAATTCGAGGTTGAAAAAAAAAACTTTTTGGACTAATAAAGAGAAGGAACGCCATGTTATGGTTGAAGTTTTTTGCTATAAATACATCTAATAATCAAGAAAGTAAACAATCCAACTCCAACTACCAACAACTACCTAGTTTGCGATATCAGCATCCGCTGGAAGCGAACGTTAACTTGTCATCTACCTACCTACCTACCTACCTAAGAAAGTAAAGTAACATTAAGATACGCTTAAGAAATGACGTAATAAAGATAGACAAAATCGCATAATCTTCTGAGCCATTCACAACCACCTGGTTATGTTAGACCAAATTGCGTTTTATAAAATGTACTCGACGAATAATGGCTTTCAGCAAGCCAGAAGATTGGATAAAGGTGTACACCTTTGCCTTTGAATGACTTTTGACAATGTTTAATACAAACAATGGAAAGTGTAAAGTTATAGCTTTTGAACACAACGACATTCTACTTTTAGCTTTTCATTTCTATTCATACTATTTATATACATGGTTTTTAATTATTAATATGAATTAAATGAGTTACTAAAACGCATTGACGAATGTCGCGGTTGACTTCCTTACAATAAGAAAAAAACTGACTGAAAGTAAAGTCTTAACAATTTCTTTCACGTTAATTTCCCCTTTAAAACTTCCTTTCATATCTTTATAACATTAAACTTATGACTATAAATGAATTTATAACTACCATCTATCTTTGAAGAATTATTTTACCGCCCAGCGAATAGCTTTGCAATAAACACTTGGTACAATCCATAGTTTCACGTGTAGAAGGGTACGTTTTGGATTTCAAAACTTGGTCTATGACAGTAGTTGGCTGTGATATTCCTATTGCCTATTGCATTGATAAATTGATATATCTTCGTTTTATTTCCTGTTTCCTTTTTAGCTAGTAATTGCAATGGAGAATAATGTCATGCAGTGTGCATTGGGTGAATTTCGGTAAGGGTTAAATAACCGGAAGCAATGTTCTATGTGTAGGAGACAAAGTGAGATCGAAATTGCATATCTAACGACAAGGACGACTTGACAGAAAGAGCGATTTCCAGCGAATATATTTTTTATAAAATAAAACCAATACAACTACCGTGGCTTCAGTCATCAAGTAGCTGCAAAGGATATTCTTTACACTATTGAAAATCGCTACTGACACTTCCTTGCATTAACATTTCAACGAGTTAAAAGCTTTGAACTTTCAAGTTGGAGGCTTCTAGGTTGAAGTGTCAGATAAGTACAATTTAAACTAGAAAAAAATATTTGAAAAAAGAAAGAATTCATTACTGCACATCAATTATAGGTCACTTTAGATTAACTTTCGGATAGTACTCGTCAAATTGCTGTGGATCTAATGAAGATGGACAGCACCATGCATCGTAGTAAACCTTTGCAGGACAGCGGAATAAGTCTTCTTTTTTTCGATTTTTCTCATTTTAATAGAGAGCATGACATGTTTTCATTCCTCGGTGCTGTATAATCCTCGGTGGATTATATTGTGCGTTTTAGGACATCTTGTTGGGTTTCATACTTTTATGATGACAAGAATCCATTTCTAAAATTTTATCACTATAATAAACCACAGATCTTCAGTTTATAAAGTGAGGAAGAAACAATTTATAACTACTGTAAGGTAATTTCAACAAATCCAACAGTGAAAAATAACTGTTTTAATGTTGTATAATTATACGAAAAGAGAGACCAAATAATGTCAATATATACGATCTATTCTTTTCTGTCGAGAAAGTCTTCTATTTTTACTTGAACAAAAAAAGAAAAAAATATATAAAATAGTTAATTAAGCGGCGTTTTCTATAGTTATATTGCAAAAAGTGACAGTAATGAATGGTTTAGGAAGCTATTTATTTCTCAATCAACATTATAGTAATAATAAATCTTAACCAGTATACCGTCTTTGAACTTAAAATCACACGAATATAAATATTTTGTACATATGCTAACCAGAATTGGACGATTACCGTTACTTTTGACTTACTGGTACTGCTTTCACACGTCAAATATAGAGATATGTAAGTTTAAAGGATTTTATCTTACTATGCATCGGATTTGGCTGATGATAACAGGCAAGATAAGCGACAAAGGCTCAACCATAGCACGGGTCTTCTGTATGTAGTATAAATTCCAACGCCTGGTCGATTTTTTCACGTATCCTCCCCTGCCACGAATCCCACTGACTTAACTAAAACAAAACAATTATCAACAGATCTTATGCAAATCAAATGCAGATTCATGTCGAACGCAAGTTTGATGCGTTTTTGAGTCGAAAAAAAATGCAATATTAATGTTGTCACCAATATGATGTATAACATCTTTATAAAGAAGTATTTTAAGAAGGAATATTCCCTTTACCGCCTTAAACAATGTTTTGTCGGAGTATGACCAGTGTCTCACTGGAGTATGTGATATACACATAGACTTATTTGAATCAGTCCACGACTCAATCCTTATCAGCAAAGAGCAAAACCCCAAGAAAACTAATTTCTTTTTAATTATTTAGTATCAGTGATTAATGTATTCGTAATCATACTGTGCAAGTAATGGCATCGTTTTCTGTGACATTTAAATGTAATATGGAAATAGTCAGCTTATGAGATGTTTCACCATTTATTTTCAATTCTCACATTCAGAAAGTTTGAAATTTCATAGTATGGAATATGATATTTCATCATGCTTGCTAACATGTAATGTGCTTATCGTTGACGCTTATGATTTATATAGAATATGCCTTCTGAAGACGCGATCTTTCGGTGTGAAAGAAGAACAATTTTCACCCGTGACTCTAAGATAGAGACTCAATCCTATGTCAAAAATTCACAAATTACTCAAAAATGCACTATATTCAAATGGGGGAAAAGTATTATTACTTTACAATTGACCAGATTTACAACAATTTACACCACCATCCAGATTTACAATCTACATCACCATCCAGATTTACAATCGACATCACCATCCAGATTTACAATTGACTTCACTGTCTAGATTTACAATTGATATCACTACGCAGATTTACATCTGACACAACTACCCAGGTTTACTATTGAAATCACTATCCAGATTTACAATTGACATCACCATCCAGATTTACACTTAGAGGCTCAACCCATATTTACAACAATTTACACCCAGATTTACAATCGACATCATTATCCATATTTACTATTGTCACCATCCTAATTTACAATTGACACAACCACTCAGATTTACATTTGATATCACTACCCAGATTTACAATGAATACATTCACTCAGATTTACAATCAACATCACAATCCATATTTACAATTGACACATCCATTCAGATTTACAATCAACATCACAATCCAGATTTACAATTGACACAATCACCCAGAATTACAATTGACATCACCATCCAGATTTACACTTAGAGGCTCAACCCATATTTACAACAATTTACACCCAGATTTACAATCGACATCATTATCCATATT